CAAAGAATATCAAATTTTTCACCAGGCCTGACCACTTTGCCAAATAAAATTGAGTTTTCGTATATGTTCAGGGGGGCAAAAGAGCAATCAAAGGCGCTAAAAATAATAATAGGTAAGAAAAATAAGAAACGAAGCAATTTCAATAATTGCTGCTAATGCAGCTCTGTAACTGCTGGATGTGTAATTTACAACTTATGATGTGTCACTGTTGTGTTCACAACTTGTTTCTGCTGCCCCCAAGTACCCAAACAAAGTTATTGAAGGTTTAACTTTCAGTTCAGTTGCCATGGTATCTAACGCTGCAGGCCAAAGCTTTTGTTGAGGCTTATTGATCAAAGAATATGAAAGAACCTCCTCCTTACTAATCAAGCTGTGAGGAACCAAAACCCCCACTATTCTTACTATTATACTTACTTTGCATGGAAACCTATTTTATTTGAAATATCGTCATTCAATGTCTATCCCACTCTGGTTATAAATATGGCCTCCAGGCTACTTAACATGTTCAATATCAACTGCATATTAAAGCACATAAAATATATTCACACTAGTATATAACCCATTGCTATTGAATAAGAGAGTTGCAACACACTGATTTCTCCCCAAAAATGCAGTAATGTCATCAATTTACCAGAGATCGTGAAAATTAACAGCGTTCAATACGTGAACAAGTCAGTGTTTGGAACTATTGGTTTACCTACGATTTGTGTTGCTTTCTCCTTGTCCCATTACAACAAATTCTTTGCATCGAGGCTTTGTTTAATCCATATGACTATATACAGTCATGTAGTGCACTGTATTTTGGACAGGTTACTGCCACACAATTTGGAGAAAGAAGATAGTGAGGGGCAAAGAGAAGACGTTACCAACTAGCTGTCCACAGTCTGGACCAACTGTACTGTGAACAGTACAGGAAGACACCGTAGTAAAGTTACCGTAACATAAATGGGGACTTATTTATTTTATTATAACACACAACCTTTCAGCAACTATTTTACTGATCTACACACTTTGACTAAAGTAACATAACTACCCCTCACACACCGGGAAAAGACTCACTTCCCACAACAGACCCTCTAGACTCATCTTTCCTTGAAGGGGAAGGCTTGGCTGGTAACACACAGTGCGGTTAGGCTGTGGGTGGAGGAAGGAGCCGATCCTTTACTTAAGTAAAAATACTAATACCACAGTTTGAAAATACTCCACTACCAGTACAGTGAGGGTACAACAGAAGCATTTCCTCCTCTGCTGTAAGAAACCCTAGACCAATCTAAAAGACCTATCTTATTTTCTCAATTGCATTTTTACTATCGCTCTATTGCTACTGTTGCTTTATTAAAGCAAAAGTATTTATGATTTGATTACTCAATAAAATAATCGATAGAATACTCGATTACTTAATTAATCGATAGCTGCAGCCCTAATTGCAACTCACTTATTCAACAACGATGGGTGCTTTTATTTGGTTACTCTTTTTAATTATTATTGTCAATGCTTTTCAAATTCTAGTGCTGTGCTTAGGTTCTGTAACTTTGATTTACTGAAAATAAATTAATGCTGCATTAAATAAATTTCCCAGCAGGAATCAATCATTTAAATCACAGCTGTTTGTTACAAACAGTTCTTAAATGTACACAAGTGCACAGTTGAACTGGTAAAGTCAAGAGTTAATAGAGCAGAGTGGGTAACCGGCTTTGTGAGACCAGCGTTCCAGTCAGTAAGCCAGATGGGGAGCGTTTGGGGACTCTTGGAAGGACTTTAAACAAAGCACATTGGATAATTATAGGTTTTTGGAGTTCTGCCAGATATATCTATATATTGTCAGAATTCTTGGAGAGGTGCTTATTGGAGTGGCAGAGTACAAGGAAATAAATTAATTTCCCTTGGGAAAGTCTGTTTAGCAGTTTTAATTGGTGCTTGGATAATATTAGGCATCATACCTGCAGCGAACCTGGAGTCCATCAGCGAGCAGGTGGCTCTGATCGGACGGTGAACGTGCTGCCTCGGCCAAAGGTTGGCTGGTGGCAAAGGCTTATAATCTGTCAGCAACGGAGGAGAGAACACAGTCACAACAATGCCATACTGCCAAAAAACTCTGACTACATGGAGGCAAGGTGACTGACTCTGTTGAACTTACACTGTCTGCTGACAGTCCAGTTTCGAGCAGCAAGAGGAGCATGACTCTGCACCGGTAGGTGACATTGACCTACTCCAACAGGGGCTGAACTCTGCTGCCAGTAGAGGGGGTGCTGCATGGGTAAATCTACAGCTGGGACATACAGAAACACAGAATAACAAGGTTAGGGTTAGACTTAGATACATCATCACTGATCATTGACTAGTTGTCAATAGAAAAACCTTAATTTTTAACAAGATCTTTTGATCAGAACAAGAAACCAATGGAAAATTGTTTGTGCCAAATGGTGATGGAGACTCTTCTCACTGATTTCAACTGGGCGGGAGTTATTCCGTTCACAAGGATCAGGATTTAGCAGCACTTAAATCAGAATGTTGGGCAGTTGTGGGTTTGTTTTTATTGCCAGCGCTGTCACTCAAATCTGATCAAACCACACCCACTTTTCTTGATGCAGTTTTTGAAACTACAAAAAAATAGTCACAGGATGCAGGAAAGAAAAATAAAAAGGAGTGAGAAGCAGAAATTGGGTCAATTAGGAAAAAGCAACAAATCTGACACTAGGTAGAATACAAAACACATAGGAGAGCAAGTATTTACTGCTACACAGTGTTGGTAGCAGTGCTGCTACACAGTGTTGGTTCGATCCCCGGCTCCTCTCGCCACATGTCGAAGTATTCTTGAGCAAGATGCTGAACCCTGAATTGCTCCCGATGCTGTGCATCGGTGTGTGAATGTGTATGAATGAGGTAGTTTTGTTTGATGGTTTAATGGTGTGAAGCGTGAACTGTGGGTATAGGTAAAAGCGCTATTGAGTGTCGTAAGACTGAAAGGCGCTATATAAAGTACATAGAAAAAAATAAGGGCAATTTTCGATTGAATTGAATATAGCGATGTTGAAGTTAGTTGAATTACAAACAGCAGCAGAGAAACCAGAGCATGACTTGGTGATTATTCTTTCTGGCTGATTAAAGGTGGGCAGGGGGCTTTTATAACTCTCAAAAGGCTCTTTATTAGCTATTGTGAATTGGCAAACAGCTGAAGGCTCTCCTCTGAATAAGGGCTGATTGCTGTACCGATGCAATCAATGGACCCTGCCAAGTGGGCAGACACGTCTGATGGCCATGAAAAATATAAAATGCCTGAGGGAAAACAACAGACACAGGGCTTATGAGAATTTTAAATCAATCAATCAAGTCTATTTCCATCAATCAAGCTTATTTGCCATGTGTATTCATATAAAAAGTACAACCACATGTAATCCTGCCAATTTGAGCCCATAAATAGAATAGGAATAATAATAAATAAATGATTGGGGGCAGAGGCAGGGGATCTAAGACTCTCAGGAAAATTCTCAAAAGCACTTCCTGAGCCTCTCAGGGATGGCCTGGTGTATCCAGTTTCCTACCGCAGCAGTTATCCAGGTGGTTGGGATCATCATTCTTCTAGCCATAGTCTTGTATGGCATCTTCCACTGGTCGATTGGCACAGTAGGCAAAATGTAAAGGGTCCAGTATACTGTAGTGAGGAGCAGATGCAATTCTTTCACCAGCCATTCAAAGCACAGTACAGCGGGCATGACAACAAGAGTGGACAAGTACAATGTCAAATCCGCCCCGAAACAACCAGCGTGAAGACTGAGTTTTTACTTGTCCAGTGGTCAAGTAAATTTTCCTTCCAAGTGCCCTACAAAAAAATCCACCTGTACTGGACAAGCCTTAATGTTGCATTAAGACAAAAAAGACGCCTCGTCTTCTAAGAGTAAAAAAAGATCTATAGAGCTCTGTCAATGATTATTAATGATATCCTAGTCTTTTGCTTCTCTCTCTGGCCTCCTTTGGTACAAGTGTTCACTTCAGCTTTAGCTAGGACTCCACAGAGCTCATTCAAACTAAATTGGAAGAATGCAAGGCATGCATCAGTGGTTTTTGTTGGAGAAGGGAAGTTCACAGAGGTAGCCCGCTGACTGTCATGCTCAAACCTGGTGTAATGAGGTGAGACAGTGCTCATCCACACTTCACTGGGATTTATCTGCTTGTTCACACTGCTTGCATTTCATCCTTCAAGCTCCCTCTGGTCCTAGGAGGAGAGTGTATTTTAAAGTGGTGGTTCTTCATCATTAGATAAAGGATACCTGATCCACATTAGGCCCACAAATCCCTTTTTGATCAGAATTAGTGACAGGGGCCAATACGGATAGATCACTGATCACAGATTTGTATCAATGCAACATGCTTAATTTCAAATCACATAAACCTTAGACCGCTAGTAATTAGTCATCCTGTGTGTAGTGAGTGTCACACTGTGGTCAACATGTAGTTTTGGAAGCTTCCTACTCTCAAAAAATACATGGCAAATGTCTGCTAACAAAAGCAGAACTACAGCACTAAGAACTACAGCAAAAGAGACGTGTATCTTTACAGAGGTATGATTCCAGTTTTTGGAAGCCTCAAGGTGCAGCCGATGCCTCTTACAATCAAGTCGTCTTTTTTAATCCAGCGCAGTCTACTGTTTGCTTCCATGAGTGTTGCAGCATGTTGCAGTATGGCTCTATGTTTTCAGTAATAACCTGTTCTTTGTGGAGTTACCATTGGCTGTGATTACAGTTTTGAGTCTACCAGCGTTTCTTACCTGGATTTGGGAAATTGCTCACATTATATTTTTTTTAACCATACCATTATTTATTCAGGGTGTTTCAGTTGAGAGCCAAGCTCTCTTGTTCAGAAAATCTCTGATCCTATTACACACATTCACACCTGGAATTAGAACTGCAACAATTAATCAATTAGTTGTCAACTAGTAAATTAATTGCCAACTATTTTAATAATTGATTGTGTTGAGTTTTTAGGAAAATAATTCTGATTCCACCTTTTTAAATGTGAATATTTTCTGGTTTCTTTGGTCCACAAACTGAATATCTTTGGGTTGTGGACGAGAAAATACATTTGAGGACTTTGTGAAACAATGATCAACATTTTTCACCATTTCCTGACATTTTATGGACCAAATAACTAATTTATTACTCGAGAAAATAATCAAAGGTTAATTGAAAATTAAAATAATTGTATGTTGCAGCTCTACATGAAACCTGTCAAGTAGAACCACAGCCTGATCTAATGGCCACTGAGCACCAGTATTATGCACCTCGGTGGTGGTAATGAGGGAGTGGTAAAAGTGCTGCTGTTTCTTTCCCCACCTCAATGTATCTTGCTGGTTTGAGGATCGGACGACCAGTCACAAGCCTGCTTTTCTAACCTTTAGGCCATAACTGAACCTCTGAAGCTCACAGGTCTCTAGACAACTATAGAGAGTTTATTTGACTTCTTAACTTGTTTCTTTTGCTCAGACATTCCCTGTGAACTGTGCGACTTCATACCAACCAGTGTGTTACTCTATAAATCACATTCGATTAGCTTAACTTGTGAACCACATTTTGAAGTTGCCTCAAGGAAAATAAGCGAGTCCATTACTTTGACATAATTCATCATGATCATCATCAGGGCATTTCCATTAGCACTTTAGCACAAGTCAAATCATTTCCACTACCATTTAAAACGCGGTGTGCGCGGTGTGTGCTCGAGAAGGAGTATCTCCAGAGTGGGGCCAAAATGCGCCCGACCCCCTACAAGCGGGTTGCAGTGACATCTTGTCGACAAACCCCTAACAACCCCCCTTCTCACCCTCAAACATCAGTATGTTCTGAGATTCCTGTCTGTACAGGAGAGCAGAGAGAGAGACACTTTTAGAAGCCTCTGAGCGTTGAGCTCTCAGTACTTTTGTAGCTTCTACCTGAATCTTTGTGGTTTTAAGTGGTCCCTGTTTGTACTTTTAGATATCAGCTTTATTTAACGGTTTCCTGTTCTATGCTGTATAAGTATCGTGTTAAGTTCCTGCTGATAAAAACCCCACATTTTCTAATATAACCAGGGACTTATAAGAATTTATAGGAAGTAAAATGTGTTTATTACCAAATTAGCGGCTATTCTTCAATAAAAACAAATCTACATGTGCTATAGAACGTAACCGCAGTGAAACAATCAGAAACTTATGTTTTATTTATTTCATTCACTGCTTTGTTCTCCCTCTCTTTATTCAATATTGACCTCTCTTGACCGTCGCTGCTCTCTCTTCCTTATACAGATGCACCTTCAAGTGGGTAGCCCTGTCCTAACAGAGATGCAAATCCCTGCCACCCTGGGCTGGTGCGCCGAGTAACACCGAGTCAAGCCAAGCCAACACGTGTATGGAAAAGGACTATTAGATTAAAGTGGTTGGATGTGTACTGATGTCACTACTTCTACAAAATGAACTACTATGAGGGCAAAATACACAATGCTGGTGTGTCTCTTACGTATGATAGGAATTAAAAATGGTGTCTAACATTTAGCTAAAGTTCAGGTAAAACGTATTTTAAACTGGGGATGTACCGAAGATGGAAAATAATAAATGTGTGGCTGAAAAGACAGCTAGAAATGTTAAAAAGTTAAGTGTTACTCACAGTCTGCTATTTATTGTTTATTATTTATGTGCCTTGGTTAATAAAACAAAATGTTTTAACTTTTAGTATGCACAATGGCACCAATTTGAACACATCAGGACATCTCCTAAACTTATTTTATATTTTAAAATTGGAAAGTTTGTAGCTGCAAGTATGCAAAAGCAGGCAAGTTTTGGAGAGAATGATGAAGAATAGGTGGAAATAGTGTTCATCAAGCCCAGTAATTCTCCAGGCATACAGTAATTCCACTGTAGGTAGACTGGTTGGAGCTTTACCTCCATAGTGGTCATCAGCAGGCTGTGCAGGCTGATTGGCGAAATGTGTTGGCAGCAGCAGGGGTCTGATGTTCACTGCCCTGTCTTCCATCCACATGTAAGACAAAAACAGCTCTCTTTAGGTTGAACTATATAAACATATATAGTTATTATATATATATATATACAAATATATAATTATTAATTGCCTTGTGTAAAGAAAAACAGATTAAGGCATTTATAAATAAACAAGAGACACAAATCAGTCTTTTCATACATCTGTTATTGCTAATGCAGTACTTCTAAATTGAAAATAAATTATGAAGGGTTATTTAATAAACTTCACATAATTACTGTCTCAAGAGCTCACACAAAACAGTATGCAAGGTTTACTCTAATTGATTAAGTCCCAACACAAAACCTTTTTGAACATAACTCTTTTTCCTTTTATGAGAAACCTTTTCTAATGTAAGCTTTAAGAGCATCTGGCTTGCTCATTGTTTAAAGACCAATAGACTCGGATTGGTCTTTTTCCAAAAAAATTTGGCATGCAGACAATTAAACCTCTATCATTGTACTCCCTTTGCTTGTACTGGCTGTTTTTTCTCAACTGTCGGTGAATTAAGCATTTATTTCCACCAAACCAGAGTTGGTGATTGTTGGAACAGTGGACTAACAAAGATGGTTTTTATTTTTTATTTTATTTCTGTTCACCTTGAATGAAGTTCATGTTACAATGATCAGCAAGGTAAATTTACTGTTTCTGTTATGCTGGTGGCGAGCGATAGCGATATGATGGCCATTTCGGATTAAACAGAAGGTCTATCTCTGTAGGGATACCTTATAGTGTGGCAAAAACAAGCTTAGTGGATGTACTTTGACGGGCACATTTGTCCCCAAGGATTAGCTAACATTACATAGACACAAAGATGAGTGCAGCTGCAAACTTCACTTATCCCAACAGGCATTAAAATACATCTGTAATCTCCTGTCAGATGATTTGGTGACTAATTTCAGATGTCCCTATGCACTCCTAGTTGTTGTCAAAGTCACATCTGCACTGCACTTCTTTGCAAGTGACCAGCCAGAGTTCTATTGAAGGTATGAATGCATAGGGGCAGCTGGCATTAGTCTCCATCTGACAGGAGATTACAGATGTATGTTACTGCCTGGTGGGATAAGCACACGAGCAGCCCCCTTTCCTCAGGAGAAAACCGTTCACTTCTCCAACTTGCAGAATCCACCATTTAAATAGCAATGTGTAAGGTGTAAGCACACCCTGGGAACGGGAGATGACACTCTGATTGGTTTGGTCATTTGCTTTTGTCAAAGTGAAAACGGATCTCTACAGTCTAACGGCACCTAAGATGGACATTTTCAACATGTAGTACGGATTTAAATCAAAAGATTGTTTATTTGATGTATATTCACAAAGAGTAACACACACACAAGGCCAACAAGACCACAGACAGGATTTCTTACCTGAATTTGGAGGAACCAGCTGAAATCTTTCTGACCTGAAGTGACTCTGCTGGTATCGGACCAGGCCATGTCTCTGGAGGGGTACTGAGATAAAACGACAGCATAGGAATAAATGATGTAAATGAATCAAACTGATGCCAGTGAGTCCTAATGTCTGAGTGACTAAAAATAAGAGAAACTTGATTTTACTAACCTGAGTTCAGCAGGGGCCTCGGACGGGGCCACTCGGGTCTGATATTGTGGTGTCCAAACTCCTCTATGCCACCCTGAAGTACTAAACATTCAGACATCATCTGACAACACCTCTGTCACAGAACTGCTTCATGCACCAAATTTCACACTTGACGGTCAATATAGAGGGCTGCAGGAATGAGTCTCAAAATCATGGAAATTAGTTTACTTTTTTGCACTTTTGGTTCTCTCTCCTCGAAATAAATAGGGGTTTTTTAATGGGTTTTTGATTAGATTCCTGAAATAAGGTATTCAATTCACCTTCAATCTTAACTGACTTTAAAAGCAGTAAGATATTCAATACTGCATGTTATAAGAGACTTTCTCATTTTGCCCAGAAATCAAAGATTACCTTAAAAATGGCTTATGTGCTGATGATGTGCTGATGGTAGGCTCTAGACTTCCTTGTCTTCTTTTTTGATAAATTTCACCACCTAACTAAAAGGATTTTTGCAGCAATTGTCGTCTTCCTTTTAGATTTGTTTCTTTCATTTTGTGTGTGCAGCTCTTCCAGAAATAGAGGACATCCTTATCATTGCAAGAGCCCATTTTGTCATTTGAGTCAAACTGACAGGGTTTTTGAAAAAGAAAAAAACATAAAAAGCTTCCAATGACGTCCAGGGTGGTAATATCAATCAAACATGTTGTGTGCCTACTTATATATGCAGAATCCATCAGTTCAGGGAATGGTGTTCCTATAGACAACCCCTGAAGTAGTCAGGGGTTGAACACAGAGCACAGTAAATATAGAGTCAATAAACCATGTCAGAACAGAGGTGCAGCAGTCACTGGACTGAACCATGCTCCATTTGAAATGGCAGGCCAATAACATGTCAGCACTCAGTATATCAGTGGAACAGCTGTGTGTGCATTCACCTTGTCCTGGGGGGGAGGGTGGGTCCTGCAGGTCAACTCCCCAGGCGTCAGCGATGTGCTGCAGCAGCAGGCTGCTGATGTGTCGATGGGCCAGTGCGTCCCAGTGGACGCCGTCGGGCATGCGGTGCTGCAGGCTGAGGCGGAAGTGGAAGTGGAGGTCGAGGACGTCCAAGCCGTAGGCCTCTGCCAACCGACCGCTGTAGAAGTTGGCCTCAATGATGTCATAACACAGCGAGGGGCCCAAGTGACTCACCTGTTGTGATTCAATAATACGCAGTTCATTAACAATTTAACATTTGTGTTTGGTAGTAATTCTTGTTAATAATTCTATAACACTGATTGTCTCTCAAAGTGCATCTATGTGCATTTTAAATTTGCACATAAAAGCTAGTGATACAAATTACATTACAAATTAATTATGAATTATCGGGATAATTAAATTACAGCCATCAAATTATTGAGCCATAATAATACTCATTTATTTTGAATTCTTATGCACGTGTGATAGGCTTTATGTTCTATGAAAGCCAAAGTATGTTTGTGATTGTGAAGTAAATGTTTTGATTATTATTTTTTTTTAAAATTTGTATTGTATTTGTATATGTATTTGACATGTTTAATGGTATGTATCTATTTGGTGGCCCAAGTGTCAGGTTTAATGCTGTAATGTTACAGTTTGAGTACATGGACCAGAGGCAAATAATGAAACCTCAGGCCTAAACATTTTAATAATACATTATATATAATATTTGGAAGGGATGAGCGTGATTAGTCGACTAGTCGGTTACACGTTGCTAATCCCACTTGTCCCTGCACTAATGCCACTGGTTTTAAGAGTCATCTTTGTCCCACTGTAGTCCATACATTTGGTTACTGCGGTCTGCTTTGGGATTCTACCAGCTGATTTTACTCTCTACCCATCTAGCCTCAGAGATGGTTAGAGATGGCACTAGTGAGGGGAAACAGAATGGTGGAGCTAGCATCGAAAAGAAAATACTCAGAGTATGGTAAATTAGGATGGCATGCCGGTAATGTAACTGCCCCTTCATCAAATGATCAGGATACTGAGGTCTCTTTAAGAGGTGCTGCAGTATTGTGTTCTATCAGCCTCTCTTTGCTTTCCTGGAGAAGTCTATAGATTGTTATTTCTATTTTGTATGTATACAGTCAGAATACAAAATGATGATGTTTAAGAAAAGGTAATCACCTCATTCAGCAGCCGAAAACTCATTAATTCCTCAAGGCCAGTATTTAGTGTTATCTTTACAGATAGGAAACTCTGCAAAGCAAAACCCACAGTTCTGACAATGTTGCTATGGTCTCTCTCAAAGAGCAAAGGTCCAAGCCAATGTGAGAACATTATATAAGCCAATCTCTTTATATGCTTTATCTCTGCAGCTCTTCTAATTCCACAATGCCAATATGCAGCTGCTCATTTCCCTGCTCTCTGGATGAAGGGGCTAATAAGTGAAATCAGCTGGTGTATTGTTTAGCTGGAAAGAAAACCTGCAGGCCCATAGTTGTGATACTCACTTCAGGCACCAAGAATCCACCCTTGATCTTCTTGCCAAGCGGCATGGCCAGACTCCACAGGATGAGACAGTCATGGCGAACAATAGTTTTAATCTGGCCAAAGAACTTGTGGAGGTTCTCTTTGTACTGTTGGAGACCCCCCAGGCCATACCTGACATAGCAAACGTTTAGAAAAACACATTAGTGAAAATGAAGCCACCATACATACTTTGGCAATACTAAAAAATGTCTTATTGTATTATGAGTTATTATGAGTTTTAGTATGTGATTTGGATGTCCACTGACTACTACTTTATAATGTCCTCCCACAACTAATGATTTTAAGGGTGCTCCGGTCAGGGTTTTTGAGGCCTATCACCGATCACTAGAAGCAGTATCAGCCGATACCGATGACTGCTTCTATTTAAAGCCTTGTGTTTATAGTGTACGCACACACGCACACAACTACACCTCTAATACACACCGGCTTGCCCCACCCCGCCTCTCTCCACATACAGGCTGCTGACCCCATTAATTTGTTGGTCAGCAGTAAGTTTTATATGGTA